TTCGGGGAAACCCAGAATGGGGAACTTCTAACATCAAAACCGAACCGACGAACCGCGAGATGATGACTCAGCCAAAGTCAACAAGCGAACTTAGCAGCAATAAAACGCGGCCTCAAAAGACACTTACAGCTCAAACAGACCGGACTGGCACAGACAGCTGAAATATGTATCTATATAGCTCATATGCGCTTCAGAAAAGATTACACTGAGCTTCAGGCATCAGGTATTTTTAAACAAAAGCGTATTATCGCAAATTAATAATCTGCTAAAGATTAAACGTATTTTTTCTATAATAAAAATACTCGTTTTTTTAAGTATATGAGCTTTGCAAACACAGTTCACATTTTTTACTGATGCTCCTAACCAAATAAACATATTTAAGCTTTTTAAAAACATAAAAAGTTAGTGCAAAAAAACAGTTGAAATTGCTTGCATGGGAAATTAAAATTTTAACTTTTATTTTCTTCTTAATCTTCTTTTATTTTATTGTTGAACTAATAGCTCAAAAGTCTAAATAGGTATAATAGCATTTTTACTGATACTCCTAAGAAAATAATTATATTAAAGCTTTTTAAAAGCATAGACACATCTCAAAAAAAAGTAGTTGCAAAAAACTTAGCAGTTAAAATTGCTTGCATGAGAAATTTGAATTTCAACTAAGATTTTCTTCTTAATCTCCTTTTAATTTATTGTGGAAATAATAGCTCTAATGTCTAAATAGGTATAATAGCAAGTAAAGTTCTCCCGCTTTATTAAAAACCAAGCATTAAAGAACCTATTTTTAAATTATCTTTTTCCCTGTGCTGAGAAGTGTAAAGAAATGGTGTCTTTGTGGCTGGAATGAGTTTTCTTGTAGTTCTAATTTGCTTGGGTCATGCGTCGAGGTTAATGAGTCATATCATCATCATTATCTCGACACTGAGGCAAATAAGAAAAGTAAAAGAGAGGGGATCGGAGGGATATCATCACAATGAAAGCGGAGGACACACATTAAAATATAATTTCTGAGACAATGCTGCCAAACCGCATTCGTTTTGTAATTTAGATGCAATTAAATGTAAATAAATTCACAATTTAGTCGTATGTTCTTTTTCAACAGTTTTTCGGGGTTTTTCGACTCTGTTTGTCTGTTTTACTTCCCCTCTTTTAGTTTGGTTTGTCGTCGGTTTGGTGACCCGATTTCCGCAATTTAATGACTTTTGTTTGACCAGCGGATAATTGCTGGGAAAAAAATGCACGAGAACAAGAGGAATTGCGGAACTTTCTTTTTCCTCATTTATTTTTCGCCAGGGCTCACTTAATTCTCTTTCGTTTTCGTGCGTCTATTGTTTGTTTTAGTTTTTCCTCTCGTTTGATTGTCTCTTTCTTCTTTCTTTATTTTTTTCTACAGTTTTTATATATCTCTTTTCTATAGCCATCTCTGTTCATTTCTTTGCGGCTGCTAACGAGCTGTTGATAATTTTTAGCAAAGGCGCACATTTATTGACTTTTTGTGGCATTTGTGGATTTTAGATTTGTGGTATTATCTCCAGCTATCTCCTTCTAGGCGCGTATATTTGTCTTTGTTTGACCCCCAACGGAAATGAGCCCTGCCTATTATTTTCCTTCGGTTCAAGGTTCAAGGTTGTCCGCCCACTCCCTAATTTCTTTTTATTTTCGTTGCCATTGATATCTTTGTTACACACCCAAACTCGCACACACATTTTAGGATAAGACAGCTAAAGAAGGCAATTTGCTAGAAAGGGACGGGACTCAGTGAAAGAGATGGGTGAGTGAGAAAGAGATGGAGGGAAAACTAAGAGTTTAGCTGCAATTTGGTTGGGGAGACATTAAGTGGCGGAAGTTGATAAAAAAAAAGGACAGCAAAATGTTATTTATAGATAACCAAAGCGATTCAAGGAAATATACACAAAAATAGGAAATCTTGGATGGGTAATCGAAAATTGAATGCCTTAAAAGAAAAGCAATCAAAGGGGTTCAAATAGTATTTCATTTTAATGTAATTTGAAGCACTTAGATACTTACGAAATATATATTTTTTTGTCTATCCCATAAAACCTCTTGTTATATCAGAAATATGTTATTTTATTTAGCTAATATTGTTTTCTTAACATTATTTGTCTACTGCGATCGAGTATGTAGGATTAAAAAATGTTAAGTTAAAGTTAAGTTATAATATTTTCTTAATAGTATTCTTGTAGTGGGAGTACAGATAAATATTAAAAATAATTCTTGGAAAAGGTCTTAAACATTCATATTTTTATGTTTTCGTTTTATCGTTTTCAACTCAAGTTAATTCACCCGACAAAAATTCAGTACTTAAAGCGCCAACAAATGGGCTATGAGGGGAACAACAGCTCGACCCAAACCCTTAATCCGAAGAACATTAGACATAAGCTCTCAGACAGAAAGAATTTCGTATGCCTGAATTATAATTCAATTTATGACCCGGTCCGAGTGGCTTAAACTACTTCCCAAATCCTTTATCAGCGGCCACTTCGATATGCAAGACCTGAGCTGCATGCATTATCCTCCGAAAGCGATTCCCCGGCCGAACCCTCGTCAAAAGACTGATAGATTCCAGTCAGAAGAAAAAGACCAAGAGGCTCCCGCCGGAAGCCCCTAGCCCAAGTCAAACCTCCATATCCCACTCTCTCATTAGCATACAAATGTGTCAGAACAAACAACCAAATAACCGAAAGGAACTGAAATGTTAAGAGTCCAAAAGAATAGAAAGAACCGGCCGGTCGTCCGAAAAAATACAAATTGGGGTGTGGGCAGCGTGATTTCTTGACTAATTTTTATGACACTTTTCACTTTATGAGGTGGCCTCGGCTAATTCCAAAGTCTCCTTTCTTTTTATCCCCTACTTTATTTACCTTTGGCTCTTATTGAACGGAGAAACGAATAAACCATATGCATGTACCCCGGGCAGTAAAGATTTTTATCGCTCGAGGATGTGTCATAAAATTTCCTAGCTCTCGAGACTATTAAAAACAATAAATGTCAAAACGAAACGGATTTTCCAGTATGCGTGTACCTAGAGTGCCATTCTCTAGGGAAAAACTGGCCAGGGGCTACGGGAAAATAATGGGTCTACTGTAGGTTATGGGGTTGGAAAATAATCCACACTGTGTTGTCTATGGGTAGGTCTTACAAGCCGGAGTGCATAAATATTAAAAAATATACACCTTAAGGAATTTTTATATCTTTATAACTTCCTTTCAAAAAGCTTACAATTTTTGGTAATGAACCCAAGCTTTAAAAGTATATTTGTATATGTCATCATGGAAAAGGGACGAAAAGCTATATAATAAGTTTAGTAACATTTTTTATTAAAAAAAATATTTTATTCTCCATACAATTATTTTGAAATATAAAAATATTTGATTAATATTGACTAGTAAAACTTTGGATTCTTGTCACTAATTTAAAAAAATCTATTGAAATTTCACTATAATTTATTTCTTTTTATTTCACTTTATAATTATATAAATAAATCTTTTATACGTCACTTTGTTGTCAAGCTTAACATCTTTAATCCATTTTGCTGGAACTACTAATCTTTTTTTGTACCCAACCTCTTGGCCTAATTCTTTCTCATTTAGAACAGCCTCCAAATGTGAATTCTTCCTCTATTTTTATGGCTCCCGCTTTGTCCTTGTGTCATGCGGCAGGACATTAGGCAGGCAAATCACGTAAATTATGACCGGGCCACTATAATTTCTTATCGCTGGGACATGATTTCAAATGATAGACTGCGGAGAAGACTGGAATGAAGGCATCTCAGGGCCTGGGGCGAAGATTTTAGTAGGCGCGACAAGTTTTTTATGTGCTTCTCGCAGGAGAAGAAGGAGGGAGGAGTAGGTCCCAGGAGGTGGACTGCAATTGGCAACTGGCGCAACGCATAAATTGAGAATTTTTATCTAATCCGCGGCATCTGGGGAGACGCGTACATTAGCTGGCACCAGTCAGTCCCGTCCCGTCCCGCCTCGACCCGTCTGGATTTGTACACTCTGGACGGAGCTCGCTGGTCCGCTTTTCGGATCGAATCGCTCCGAGTCTTTGGGACTAGCCAAAAAGCAGCGCCTGCGACTACGACGACAATCGACAGGCAATAAATCACCCAAAGTTGCCAAAGAAATTTATGTGCAGCAGATTAGGATCGCGAAAAGCGTCATTAGAATAAATTTTCATTGGAAAATGAGCGCTCGGGCCAAGTGAAGCAAACGAATTGATGAGATACAACTCTGTTCACTTTAAGTTGCAATAATTATGCGTTTTAGAATTCGTCCATTCGGAATTATAGAGTAGGACAACATTGAAAACGTTGTTAGGTTCTATAATTTAGCATTTGCTAATATAAAGAAAAATTTTTAAATTATCAATTAATTACATTGTAAAAAATTAAATTTTATTTGGTTACAAATCCAATTTTTTTTAATAAATTGTAGTTAACCAGCAATCAACACAAGAACGAATAAAGGAATCAGATTTCATTATTAATATAAGCTTGAAGGTTCAGACGGTATTATACGATTTTAAGTTTTTTAGAAACCACATTTTTAAATTTTAAAATGTATTTTCTATTTAAAAACGCAAAACTATTTAAATAAGTTTGGCTTCTAATAAAGTTATTGTGTAAACAAAAAGCTTTTGTTTCAATTCGAATATTAATAGCAAAACAAGCCTTTTGATGAATAATACATAAATTAAAGTATTTTATTTTCAACTTTAATAAGAAATCACATGAAGAAAGAGAAAATATTGTGTTTTTTAGATCAAGGAATGCAGACTTAATGTTATCGTACATACTTTTAAACTACAACCTCAATTGTTTTTCTTTATGTTTAAACTCAAATTTTTAACTAAATTAAAATAAAATGTTATTTGGGTTTGTTAAAAATACAAGTTTTTACTTTAATAGATTATAAAGTTTTGCTGAATTTAAAAATCATAAAAATGTCGGAAAAAAATAAAAATTCTCAGCTTTGACTTACCATTTGCCGTCTTCTTCTTGTTTGTCTGCCGCTGCTTCTTCTTTCTCTAGACTCCCGTTCTTTATCTCTCAGGACATTAATGATTAATCCCAGCGTCGTCTGCTCTCCTTTATCGCTTTTTGTTGTTTTTTTTTTTTGGTTGTTGTTGCTATGCGTGTGCCGTTATTGGCGGTATAATCCAATAATCCAACACGAAAGAGCGTGTGAAGTGGAAATTGCAAAAAACTAGAGACTCACGCACATACACACAGAGGCACAGCCACCCACACACGCACACAGTTTTGCCGCTTTGTTTAGTAAATTTAACTTTTCAGCCAGGAAAAGGAAAAACGGGCCATTTTCTTATTTTGTTTCGATTTGTTTCGTTTTTTTCTTTCTTTAGTTTTCCTGCTTTCTTTTCTTATTTTTCAAATCACAAAATCACAGAGCCAGCGCAAAAGCAATAACAACAACGTACACAAAACAAAGACAAAATGCACGACGCCAGCAACAACAACAAAGCGCCGCCGTAGTACACGAAAAAATTCCTTTTTCGCTGCGCGTCGTCTCCTTGTATATATGTATTTTTTGTATTCCACAGAGCAATTCTATTTTGCTTTTTTTTTATTAATGACTTTTTCACCTTTAGATTTTTATTGCCGCACTTTGATTTGACTGCATATTTTACCTCCCTGTCGCACACTCACCGTTTAATTGGGGAAAACACACACGATCTCGTCAATTGGTCGCGTAATTGTCGCCGCTCATTTGGTAAACATTTGGAGTTTTTCATCCGATTTTCCGCTAAAAACACAAAAAAGCGAACCGCGCTCCGCTCCAAATTGAACCGTTCCGATTGAAAAAGAGAACAACAATGAAGAGAGAAGTAACGGTGGAGCGGGGGAGAGATACAGAGAGCGATTAGTATGACCGCAGCTGGTCTTGTCTTAATATACCATCCGGCGAGAGTGGAAGAGAGCGCTATACAAACCAGTTTTGTTCCCAGTGAGCCGAACAGTGAGACCAGTCGGCGTAAAGCAACCCTTGTAATTCAGGTTTTAAATTAAATAATAAGATAGATATTCTTATTTATTAACCTAAACATCATTTTGAAACATACGCTTTTAAGTTGTTTAAACTACCATATATTTTTGCATCCAAAAGAGGATGTTTTCAGGCGAGTGGTTTAACCTGTCTAGTATTTTATACCCTGTACAGGTGAAGTACATGGGTATAATATTTGGTTATAGTTTATTTAATACATATTATAAAGTAATTATCATATTTTTTTTGAACGCATTTTAGATCGGATGATAATTGAACAGCTTGACCGTACAATCAAAGTAATATAATTATTATTATCGGCATACGCATAGAGAATTTATCATGAATTGCGTACCGTGTATCTCATAAAATCTACCAGTCAGTGAACTTCAGTATTTTTTTGTGCTGGCTGACAATATCTAAGGTTTACATAACTTAAGTGTCTTTGATTTTTTAAGGTAAAATTTTTACGTTTTTTTGTAGTCCACAAATAAAAGCGAAATTATGAGTTGGATAAAATATAAACTATACTTCATCCGTTATTAAATATTTAAATATAAAGCAGAATTATAGGAATGAAAATGTTCTATTATACAAATAAGAGCTGACAAAAGATGTTGAATATATTACTCTAAAACCATCAAATCTGTTACATTTTAAAACTTTTCAGAAAAAGTCACTGGACCAAAATCTTATGTTAATTGTTTGTAATTAGTCTTTAAAAATACGTAAACAAATTATTTTCAAATAATTAAATAAATTGATCGAACTTCAGATAACGATTTGATCTTGTGTTAATAGTTGCAATATAATAAATAGTCTAAAATTACTAAAATTATCAACAGATTATTAATGATGATAATGAATAAGCCATATCAACAAGTTCAAAAGAGAATGACTAAGTCAACAAGTGAAAGTGATTTGTTTTCATTTGTTATCACTCTCTCGCTTACAAATATGATAATCTCCTCTCCCTCTCTTTGATAGCGTAATTGTTTCTAATCGAAATATGTGCCCAATAATTTCTCACATTTTTTACCGTTCTCTTCCGATAAGATAACACGTATTGAAGCAAAAAAGCGTCAACGAGCGGAGCAAATCAACGCTTTTCGTACAGAACAAATATTAGTTGCGCTGAACTTTCAAAGCCGAGCGGTTGGATGCTTCCATAGAAAAATAAAATAAATTAAAATCGTTATCGGAAAAATTGCAAATTGAGTGCAAATATTAAGGAAATGACGTCACTGGGCGGACAGGTGTTTTTGTGGATCTGCTTGCTCTCTCTAACTTCGGGAATCTCTCATACGAAAGCGAATACCATCGGTTTGTCAACCCATTAACTTAACCGTTACATAATTTTCTATAATTCGCCATCTTTCACTCTCCAGATGATCAATGCATGCACGCGGACAGCTGTGAAAGGTGTTTAGCCGCTCACCTGGAGTGCGCCTGGTGCACAGGAAAGGTGAGTGCAAGCAAGATGATATTAGTAACCAAAAAAGATTCTTGCCAGTGCCGCTAATAGTGTTTATACTTTAAAAGTAAGTTAAATATAATGTACCATATTAATAATACCGATTTGAATGATTCAAAGAATACAATTTAATAAATTAAAAATCCTTACATGATTTTTTTGTTGATTTAATAAACATTTATTTTTATTAAAATTATGATAAATTCAATTTCGTATACATTTTTTTTGTTTTAGGTTTCAGGCTAAGCTACTCCAATTCCAATCGAAGGGCTTTCTAGATATTGCTTGGAGCTTAAAATAATGACTTCTAATTTATACAAGTTATACAAATTCTGCCAACACTCTGATCCTTGCGATTTCAGTAACCTCAATCCTTTGCTTTCTTTCAGGAATATCAAGTGGGCTATCGCTGTCTCTCTCGTTCGTTACTCCTGCACTACAACTGCAGTGAGGCGGATATATACGAGAATCAGCCGGTTTTAGATCTCCTGCAGAATAAACCCCTGAAGGACTATGAATCTAGCGATCAGGCCGTTCAGGTGACACCCCAACGAGCATACCTCAAATTGGTCAAAGGTGTGTTATATTCAATATTTATTTCTGTTATCTTATCAAATGTGTGTCACCATGTGGCTAGCTCGCTCTTTCTAACACTTTATATTATTTTCTCTATCAAGTGTGTCACTGTTCCTCTTTCCCTTCCTTCTTATTTGCTTTGCTGATTTGTTCCACATCATTTTCAAACATTTTGTTTTGTGTCCGCGCTTCGCTTATCAGCATTTTGTGGTTGTCACATCTTCTTGTTATTGTTATTGTACTTGGCGTGGGAATACCTCTATATACATACCTCTCTTTCGTGTCTTCTCTTCTTCTCTGTCTATAAGTTTATTGAACCCATATTTTATATTAGTAGTGTAAAACGTGGATTATTTTAAGGTTTAACTCCTGTATTAATTATTTATTTATATTTTCTTGTTACTCCCAGAGTTTAGTTGATATATTTATGAAACTGCCAGGATATCTATAAAAGTAGGCTCCTACTAATTACTGATTACTTTAATTGCCGACATGTTCTAGAAAAAAAGTGAATAGTTACTTTATTGGTACTCCTTGGTAAAGACAGATATATCTTAATAATACTAGTGTTGAGTTAAGCCTTAATCAATCCCCGTTGTAATGTCAGTCAATAATTTGCCATCTTGAACAGCTTATTAACCAATTTCAAACCCATTTACATCGATTATAAGGAGATCGCACTCAGCTTAAAAACTACTGAAGAGCCAGTAATTAAGGTTCGAAAAAGTGGTGTAAAGAAGCAGGTTAAATTGCACGCTTAAGGATTACAAGGAACCCAAGCATTTAGACTGGGTGTGAACTGCCTTAAGTGGTAATGATTGGTTACCAAACGGTAGCAGACTGCACTGAGAAAAGTGAAAAACAATATTCACTTTATTCATAACAAACATATTTATGTTTCTTTTTATTTGGGGACTGTAAAAAGAAAACGTAGTTTGCCATAGACATGATTATTCTCTCTGTATCTATATTGTGGAAGTTATTTTTCCCTCACTGCAGAATGTAGGACAAGACTGGTTTCCATTTATGTAGATGTGTCAGCCCATAAAACAGCTCGTAAACAAGGTCGCCTTTAACGGGTGTATAGTAAACCGATCTATAACTTTTTACCCCCTTTTTCTTTTGTCCCACAGGAAACACGCAACGCATCAAGCTGAGCTATAGAACAGCACGCAATAATCCACTCGATTTGTACGTGTTGATGGACCTCACCTGGACAATGAGGGACGACAAGGAGACCCTGGAGGAGTTGGGTGCGCAACTCAGTCAGACCCTAAAAAATTTAACAGGCAACTATCGGCTGGGATTTGGTTCCTTTGCGGACAAGCCAACTTTGCCCATGATTTTGCCGCAAAATAAGGAGAATCCCTGTGCTCCGGAACGGGCTACATGTGAACCTACCTATGGATTTAGACATCAAATACCCTTAACTGATAATATTCCTGCCTTTACCTCGGCAGTGGCTAACAGCAAGATCACGGGAAATTTGGATAATCTCGAGGGAGGCTTGGATGCTCTAATGCAGGTAATTGTTTGTCCCAAGGAAATCGGTTGGAAACAGCAGGCGAGAAAGGTTGTCATCCTGGTAACCGATGGCTTTATGCATCTAGCGGGGGATGGACTCCTAGCTGGTATCACCCAACCCAATGACAAAAAGTGTCATCTGAATAATGCCGGTGAGTATACCGGCTCCTTGCTGTACGATTATCCCTCGCTGGAAGAGATCTATCGTGAGTTACTCCGTCGCAAGATCAGTGTGATCTTTGCTGTCACAAAGGAGGTGGTAAGCAGCTATAGGGAACTCAGTGCCCTGATGAAGGAAATCAGTTATGTGGACATACTTAGTGCAGATTCCTCCAATATCTTGGAACTGATCAAAAAGAGGTGAGTCCAATAACAAGGCAGCGGATCATATGCAAAACCGTATTCTTAAAGTTGAACTTTTATTGGACTTAAATTTGTTCAACAAAATCATGATAAGCTAAAATCTTTTTATGATTAAATAAATGTTAACCGAAGTTTGAAACTGTTTTTGCTTATAATCCGATGTCTACTGATAATAAATAATTACTGCTTATTAATTTCAAAATTTTGTTCTTAATTGTTTAGTTATGAGAGCTTAGTCCAGCGCACCCAGTTCGCCGATAACAGTCCGGACTTTATTGACATGGTTTACTATACGGATTGCGGTGGACAGTTTCCTAACTTACAAAAACGAAATTACTGCAATAATGTCAGCTTGGGTAAAGAGATTGATTTCTATGTGGATGTCACCCTCAAGAAGTATCCAGAAAATAAGATTTATGTAAGTGAGATAATATAATAATAATCAAATCATTAATTGTCATATTGAAAAGTGAGAAGTGAGAAGCCTTCCAAAGACTCCATTAGCTTTTAAATATTTACCATGTTCCAAAATAGATGTATTTTTTTTCGACAAAAAATATTTGCTTTTCCACATGATATTGAAGTATAGTGAGTAAACTTATCTTCCGTTCGTAGAACCACAAGATCCGGGTGGAGGAGACTTCATTGAGCGAATATATGGACCTCGATGTGGAGCTTCAGCGGCCGTGTCCCTGCCAGGAAATTCCGGATCCGGAGAATGAAGAGGGGCGCTTACGGTGCGAGAACCAGGGCTATATGTATTGTGGCATGTGCAACTGCGATGAGGGATGGACTGGCACCTATTGCACCTGCCCCACGGATGCCACGAATGTCACCAGTAATGAAGCTCTGCTCCAGAAGTGCCGCCAACCGTTGCCGGATAAAACCACCTCCCCCTTGGTTTGCTCCAATCACGGGGACTGTGATTGCGGCAGTTGCCTGTGCGATCCTGGATTTACGGGTACATTTTGTGAGTGTCGCGAATGCATCGATTGCGATGAGACGCGTGCAGAGTGCCATTGTGGCCAGTGTGTTTGCAAGTACGGTTGGTCGGGAACCAGATGCAATTGCGCCGAGGATACGGACGCCTGTTTGGGACCCACAGGCGAAATTTGTTCGCAACGAGGCACTTGCGACTGCGGCGAGTGCCAGTGTGAGGAACCATTTTTGGGCAAATTCTGCGAAATTGATCTGGAAAAGGATAACAAACTTTGCCAGTTCTATGAGCCCTGTGTTACCTGCCTAATTGAACAAAAACAGGGAATGGGTGCTTGTGATAATCTCAGTCAAGTGTGCTCCAGTTTGGACAGGCAAGAGCACTTCACCTACTCTTTTGTGCACGAATTGGATCCCGATGAAGACCATTGCTTGGTGCGAATTGTCAACAAACATGGCATCCAATGTGACAGTTTCTTTGTCTACCAGGTCATCGATCATTCGAACTTTCTCACCATCCAAGCAGTTAACTGCGAGCCACTGGACTTTGTGGCACTGTTTGGTTTTATATCGGGATTTACCCTCCTTATAGGATTGCTTCTTATCTTCTTGATTTTGTGGTGCATTCGCAGAAATGATGCCAAGGAATATGCAAAGTTCTTAGAAGAGCAGAAAACTGCGGTGCGACAAGAGAATCCAATTTATAGGGATCCTGTGGGCAGATACGAAGTGCCCAAGGCATTAAGTGTCAAACACGATGAGAATCCTTTTGCTAGTTGATAAGAGCTTAGTTTTTGTTTAGGCACATTGCCCAACTCGAGAAAATCGTTTATATTTTTAAATATCTGTAGTCCTAGAAAACCCAAAGTATATCTATAAGTATTTCTTAAAGCAAATCCAATTTAAGTACAGAATATTATGTTGATTTTGAAACCATTGCAAAGCTTTGACGAACAAAACCACTGTTTAAATTCTATTGTTTTCATATAATATATATTTTTAACATAAATTTTTTTGTTTATACAGAAAATTTGATGAATTGCTTAATAGTTCGTATATAATATCTAAGCTTAGTTATCTAATAATTTGTTATAGCTAAAAAACGAAAAGATTTATAACAAAATTGGTTTTCAGTTTCGAATTGGACAATTCCGTTGAGCAAAAGTTTTGATTACATTCATATTAGTAGAAAAATAATGGCTTAAGACTTGGTTTATTTAAAAACAGGCTGTTAAAACTAAATGATGACTACTGGCAAATCGAAAATGCAAAACAATACCTTAACATAATAACGTACACTTAAGAGGCATTACAAAAATACAATTCGATTAATTAAGGCTAAACGTTTTCCCCTTCATACTACTTTAACTAAATGTAATATCACTAGATTTGTAGCTTAGATTTAGTAAATGTTTCTCCGCAGCGAAAAATGCCAAAAACACGAAATTCAATTACACATGCTCGTAACTCCACGCTCATAAAATGCACACAACGTTTGGAAAAAAAAATTATAATGTCGAAATAAGAACAGGAGTGGGTGGTGCGGTGTGAGGTGTGCGGTGTGTGGTGTGGTGTGTTGTGTGGTGTGCTATGGGCGCTTAAAGGACACGCTCCCCCAGCGACGGTGTCCTTTGGATGAGCATCGAGGGTGGCTTCGCCGGCAGGGTAACGCTACTTAGCTCAGCATCCAGAGCGGCGATGTGGGCGGCCGACTTCGCGTTGTTCGAGCTGAGCGGTACGGGGGCGGCTATGGAGCTAGGCAGGCCGTGGGGCGAGGCATCGGGCACCAGGCGCTTCAGCAAGCCACCCACACAGCCCCAGGGGAAGGTCCTGCGAAAATACAAAATGGAGATGGGGGGTGAGCAAAGGTGGGCCAAGGCAAAGGTAAATATTATGCATTATTTAAGAGAAACACATTAAAGCGAGACCATTAGGCATGGTAATGGGGACCGAGGGGGTGCGCTATGATTTTGGGTGAGGGGACTGACTACACTCAAATCAAAATCTTCCTCTCACTTAACTTTGTTAATAAGCAAATTCAATATTCTTTCAGTTTTTTTTAATAAAAAATAAATAATATTTTTAATAAAAAAAATTAAGAAATGGTTTTAAAAACAAAGTATTCTATATGTTTTAAATCTTGATAATTTTTTGCTTGTATGAAAATTATATTTAAATTAAAATAATAAACATATTAACGGTTTTTTTTTATAGTGTACATGCCAGAATGAATGGGCATTTTCCGCAAAGGTTTGCGTTTTATCATACTTTTTGATGGGGTGGATAAAGATGTGGTCATGGCTTTAAAAACCAAGATTTTCCACATTTTATTGGGAGTGCTACAAGTTGTAGACATTAAAGTTTTATTGCAAATCTAGAACTTTTGAATTTTCCCCATGAGTCAGCGAAATTATAACTTTGAATGGGTAAAGTTCTTTGATTTTAAATCATTTGATTTATTTTTTAAGGGATTGTTGATTTTATACTCTTTTATTTTAAAGATATTTTTATAAGTAACTGATGGAAAGCTAGACAACAAAAGTTCATTAAAAAATAAATCAAATGAGTTCAGTTCAAACAACTTTACCCGTTTAAAGTTATAATTTAAATAAATTTGTTTAACTGCTTTATAACCTTTTGTTTTTTGTAATTTCCCTTAATAAAATAGATCCCATAATTAAATCAAAAGTAGCTGCAGCACCTGCAACCCTTTCACACATCCATACATGATTAATTTCACCGCTCGACAGGGAACACTACCATTAAATGAACTGAAATTAAAATATTCAAGTCAAGCATTTCCCATTGGGGGCTACAAGCCCCCTACAACCATTATGGCGCCTAATTAAGTGCGGCAAATTATCGTTATTAGGCTGGGGCGAAAGTCCATTTGTTTGCTTACCACTTGAAGGAGAGGAGGATCTTGAGGAAGCCGGGAATGACGGCCAGTTTCTCGTTCTTCCTGATGGCTGAAATGACACGATCGGCCACATCGTTGGGATTCAGTGTGGGGACCCATCTGAAATCATTTACCAAGTCAAAATGTCAGTTCTCGTGGATTGGGATAGGGATCGGGATGGGGATCGGGAGAAGTACGTTTTATGGATGTCGGATGGCACTCACCTGGCATTCACATCGTCGAACATGCCAGTGGCCTGAATGAAGAAGGGGCAGATGCAGGTGGTTCGGATGTTCGTATGTCCAAGGACTTCCAGCTCCAGCCTCAAAGCCTCATCAAAGCCAACCTGTAATTATCATCGATAAGTCAAGGAGGGGGAATCGCGAGGGTTCGAGTAAAGCAAACTTACCGCTGCGAATTTACTCGCACAGTAATCGACCAATTTGCTAATGCCCACATGGCCGGCCAGCGAGGCGATCGTGGCAATGTGTCCTCGATCATTCTCAATCATTTTGGGCAGAAACGCTTTTGTCGTCTGCAACATTGAAACACCGGCATTAGCATCCACATTCTAACCGCAGAGTGGTTTTATGGACTTACCCAAAAGTGTGCCATGACATTCACATTGAACGACCGCTCGATAAGATGGTCAGGTGTGTCCAAAAGGTGCAAGCCCGATACAACGCCCGCATTGTTGATCAGCATGGTGATCTGCAATTTAACCGAAATGTTGCAACACTTTAGTATCAAAAAAATATACGTAATTATTCGACGGGAGTGCAAAAAAGATTGCAGTCTCCCTGAAATTATACAAATGAAATCTAGTAGGGGAAAGGCAAATTGTAAAACAACCAGTGGTTAACCTAAATAAAAGACAATTCAAAAATACAATAATTTAATATTACTTAATAAATCGTAAATTGTTAATTAAATATCTATTATAATTAAATCATTGTATTGCCACCTAGATAATATAAATACATTAAAATAAACATAAAAGTTAAGTATGAACGTAATTATACAACATCAATTAAAAGCTTGACAAAAAAAACAACCTTATTAACACTTATGTAACACTCTAAGAAGAAAACGTATTTTATTCAAAAGAATCTATGTAAATTAAAAAAATATGCTATCGAAATGAAAAAATTGTTGTTGCTCAAAAACCACAAATTATTTTAAATGGCCAGTCAGACATTGCCAAAAATTTTGCTTGCAATTTGCATATTGCGTAACTTCATGTTGTGTGCCACTAACACCAAAATGCCAAAATTTTGCTTATTCTCGACTTGTTTAAAATGCTTTAAAGGCGTGGACTTGCCCAGGTCATTTGCTTTGGTATTTTTATAAGCTTTTTGATTTACGACCTGTCCAGAATACTTATTTTAAACTGTATTTTCACTGGTTTTATTTCCTTTTTTAAAATTCAAGTAAATTTCGTAAGAGTTTCTAGCAAAGTTTGCCTTGGATTTTTTGCGAGCTCCATAGATTTATTGGTTTTCCGAAAAGTGAAATCCTTCAAATGGCAGCCGACCATAAATGTCGAGCATGTCAAGGTCTAAATGCGAATAATGTAAGATGCTTGAAAAGCTTAAATAACAACAGCTTGCTCGCTTTGTCCCCTTAAAACCTATCCGATTACAGACGGTGGTTAAATAAGTTAACAACAAGTGCACAACAATGATCCGATTTGAGGGCGAGTTCAAGTGCAATTGGTGTGTGGGGCAGGGGCAGGTCATACATTGCGTATGAGCGATTTCGAATTTGCCCCGCTGTAACCGGGCAAAAACATTTAACGAGGCGTGCATTAAGCAAAAACAACAGCGACGAACCATTAAAACCAAACAACAACATCGCCAGGCCATTAAAAAATATTAAATGTAATATTTCAGAGGGCTTCGAGCAATAGTAAAACTGAAAAAAAAAAACAACAACAGAATTGGAACCTAAAAAAAGACAGCAAAAAGCAACGCGTCATCTGCATAACGCATGACTTACTAAGCAGTTAAATTTTTGTGTTGTTTTGTTTTTTTGTGTGTAGCCACTGCTTTTTGTCTTTATTTATTTTTTGTGACTTTCAGGTTCAACGATGTTGCCGCTGTCATTATATAACTCTTTCAAAATGATGGCTTCATTTGTTTTTTCTCATTTTTCTCATCACTTTTTGTGCTGTGTTCTTGTTGCTCACTTTTTTATGCTTGAATTTCCGACATAATTTTAACCACTTTTCCATCGTTTTTCAACTGAAGTTATAATTTCGGCAAATAATTTGGGGGTTTTTGGCAGCTCAGCAAACTTTGGAAATTGACCTAGCCATGCTTGAAAATTCATTTAATGATGTCATGAGATGCTTGTGGCAACAATTTCAGGGCATTTAACTATCTTTGTCTAAATGGTGAAGTTTGGAGGATTGTTATGTTATTTAATTAACATTGAAAATGGTTAAGATGTTAAAGTATCAAGTTTAATTATGTAGAATGCAATGTAACATTATGTGTTAAAAAAAAAAAAAACTACTCTCTTTCCAAAGAAAACAAATTGCTTGATTTACATTCATTAATTTTTTTTTTGTTCATTTGAGTAATATCTAATTACTCTTCCTATAATTAACATACTACCTCAACCTTGACTATTCACTTGCTCATTAGCCAAGCTCATATATGTACAATGTGAACAAAGTTCTAATTGAAAAAAAAAACAGAGATAAGTGCCAAAAGAAAAATATGCCCTATAATTAGCAAGTGAATTGGTTTAAAAAGCATTGTGAAATTTCACAAAAGCTTGAACAAAAATGGAAGGATTACTTTGAATATCACTTGCATGGCTGCAGAGTGCCTGAAAACTGTCCCAGATTGTGATAAATGAGCAGATCGAATGCGAGGTGGCAACCAGTTTGCAGAAGACCGGATTGGACTTGGCTTCTGCCTTTTTTTCCAGCCGTTTGTGTAATGTGCAACAATTTCTCAAGGTTGCCGCAACGATGACGATGCGCTCATCCATACAAATTTTTTTCTCTCCGCCCTGGCTTCGCTTTAAATTTATGACATGAATATGCATTAATGTGTTGCTACGGGGTGTGGCAGCCACTGCAGTAAGTCTTGGATGGTGCCGGCTTACATGTGTTCCGTGCTCCTAAGACGACGTTGGGTTCTGGCCAGCATAAAGGCCATTAAACGCCCCTCAACAAACAATTATATGACGACTAGTCTGATGCCACATTAGGCGCTCGACTGTAAACAGCAATTACCGGACTTTTATGCTTCAATTCCCGCACGCACTTTTCTATAGTATTTCCCCCCTGAATTGAGAAACACTGAAAAGTATTGGATATTTGACATGTCACAAAAACAATCGCTTTTTTCATGGATTGCATGGGAATTGAATTCATGCTGTTTCCTTTTAGGAACCCTTTTCTTTTAAATACCTTTTAAAAAAGTGTGTCAACTATAAATCTTTTTGTAACATCAAATATAGTTTGCAAAGATATTAATTCATTTATGGAATTTATTTTTAATTCCCAATTATTTTTCAAATACCTAAACACAAAAATATCAAAACATAAAATGAAATTGCCATAAGTTATACAAACCAATTAAAATATATATTTGCTATGTACTTACATCACCGACTTCTTCCCTGATTACATCGGCCGCCTTGTAGACCTCTTCCTTTTTGGATATATCCACCACATAGCCCTTGCAATAGCCGCCCGCTTCCTCGACGATTTCGACGGTTTCCGCAATACCTGTAAGCAATGGTTTATAACATAATTATTTGATATCCCTCTCGATAGTCGCGTAATTCGGGAACTTACCCTTCTTGTTTATATCCCAGATAATGACCTTGGTTCCCATCTTTCCCAGTCTCTCGGCCAGCAGGCGACCCAGTCCATTGCCACCACCTGTGATCAATGCAATGTCTGTGTTGAGCTCCTTTTCGGGATAGCCGAAGGCGATGTAGTAAAGATCCTGGAAGCGACAGAAATTGGAATTTAATTAGAGGTTGGCTATAATTAAATTCAACGCAGAGTTAATTAAATATCCATTTGGCAAGGGCTTTGTTGACTATTTATGTCAGATGTGGTTCATTGAATTTTGTCTACCGCGTGAGAGCAATTTTTAATTGAACGATATTTGAACCTTTTTATTTCAAGTACAATTTTCTTACCACCAACGAATTTAAGGCTTAATCTGTGTATTTATTGTATGTAAATATTGATTTATATATTGATTTCAAATAAAATTTGACTGAGTTTTCTTATGGTTTAACTCTTAGGCGTCTTTACACATTTTTATTTCTTATTTCTATTTTGACAATTGAGATCAGATTCGATTTATAAATTTACAGAACAAAGAAAATTCTTACAAAACAAGTTTTATCTAACCCAATCACATAAAAAACTCTTGAATATTCTGTAAAATATGCTAATTAGCGAATTCCCATTCAGCAAAAATAAAACCATAAAATTTCTATCTTTCTCCTTATGCTACGCTATGCAAATGAGTTCGTTGCTCAAGTCTTTTGTTTTCTCGTCTCATTCATTTCCTATATGCACAACAAAACTGATCCGAGTCACGCGTATGCAAATAGAGACAAATTCAAAGTTTACACAATACTCAAAAGGAAGCCCAAACAAAGTGTAAAATTGTAAACAACTTTTGCCATTTGCCATCTGCGTGTTAATAGACCTCAATTTGCCGCCTTGAACAAAAACTATTGAGGGCGGCGGTGGGCGAGTCGAGTAGTTAACCGCAATTAATTGATACATGTAGGCAGGCGAAATTTTGCAAAAAGTTTTTCTGCCCCGTTTAGTGTCAATAAGCTGTCAAAATTTATGACCATCGCGCCTCCCTTGCGGCCCGCAAAAAAAAAAAAAAATAAGTGCGCGAAAGGGAAAGGCGAAACAAAAGACTGAGGCGGCGAACTTAATATTTAACATGTTGCACAGTAGCACTTTCTGTGTTGCACGCGGGGGCATCCCATAAATTTTCATGCCACACGCGAACTTGCTGCCAGACATTTCGCCCCATCCGCTTAGGGCACCTGGTCCCATGGGTTGGGCTCTGCACCTGAGCCTGCACCGGGGTTTCAGCCAGGTCCGGCAAGCGTGTCCAATTATTTTGACATTAACAATAAATGTGTCGCAACTTTGTCTTTTTATACTCTCAAAGAGGGTGGCATTAATATTATTTGTATTCGTTTTTTAATATCAGTCAGTCATATATTAAAAACCCAAATATTAGAACATATAATACTTAGGTTTATATAACTAGTGTTGTGTAAAAGTTAAACTTTATCTCAAAGTGAAAAGTAGAATTTGTATGTAAATTTTATAGAAAATTATTTTTTAAATGTGTATCCAAGACTTTATAATATAATTTCAAAAATAATATATTTTCTGAAAATATTGCCAGAGTACATCGCCATCGGTGCCATTTTTAAAAACATCTTCCCTTTTTCGCAAACGTTTTCCTGTCTCTCCGAAAAATTGTATCATAAATTATACAAAATTAATCAAAGGAAACTTGTTACCGGTGTCTTGGGCCGGTTGATGTTGCTGACAACAATGATGATGAGTTGCTTTTGGCCCTTTTGTTTCCATGCTGCTGCTGCCAGCTCGTTGACAGACATTTTGTCACATAATTTAACATGCAATGTGCACTTTTCTCAGCTCAACTCAAATAACAAGGACAGGAAGCGCGCAATTATAATTTATACATAATACGATAATCATCATAATAAGAGCAGCGATTTCTTTTCATGCTAAGGCATGACATAAAAGGCAGAAATATGCAAATTGAAATCATATTGAGGGGCTTAGAATGAAAGAGAAAGATCTGCGGCGAGATCACGGAAATATTTCAAGACAAATGTAAATTTTGCAGACAAGTTTTACACTTTGGCCATGTCATTTAAGAATTTTGTTGTCTGGTTGAAATGCTTCCCCTGGCTACAAAATGCCGAGTCAGCATAAAATTCATTCAGCTGGGTTTATTGGTCTCATGACATTAGTCGCTTTTTTGTCGTCTGTCCTCCGATTTTCTGGTGATTGTCAAGGTCCAATGCTTTGACCTTTGTAAGACACGGAAGGCCTCCAAATCGGATCGATCTTGGATGCACTGATTTTGATTTGATTGACTAGCGCAAGGCGATTGGAAAATTTTCAAAGGTCTTTGCCATTTGAAAAAGATTAATCGTTATTTTATTTTGTAATGGAAATTCGTTCATGATAGGGGCGAGAAATCGAAGTTAATTATGCATTTGATAATTACATAGCAGCTTACAAGAGTGGAAAAACACTTGAAGGCTATATTTTAGGTTTCCATGTTTTTATTTCGAATTTACATACGGTTTTACAGTTTCCAGGGCCACAAAAATCGAATTTTTCTTATTATGTGTAGTAAATTAGGTGGTTTTAATCAAAAAGGAATAAATTTAGTTTTGATCTTTATTTTTTAATCATATGAGCAGTTGACATCTTTACTTCTACATGAATACACATTTACCTATTACAACAGAGCAAACATCCCTAGCATTAGCACACAAATCTTTAGTAATAATTGACCTGGGTTGAACACATGACCGAATGCTTAGCTGATTAGAGCTGTTCAAACATTAATTAACACGAATCGTCCACCTTCATTAGCCTCGTTAAATAGCCAATATGTGTGGAATTCTCAAGTCTCTGCAGATTGCGAAAACCTTGCATAACTTATGAAAAGCAAATGCCAAATGGCTGATCTCTGGATCTCAGGCACCTCTCGCGCTCATACTTCTAAGGCGTTAAGCCGGCTGGGTTGTTTCCATTCCCGCCATCATCATCATCATCATCATCATCAGTGGTAGCTCTGCTCTTAGCCAGTAATCAAATGTTTGCAGACAAAAGGCAGTGAACAAACTTGTTTCTCTGAGAGAGCTCAGTTCCAAGATAATTGCGAAAATATCAACAAGCCGAAGTCGCCACCGCTTGGTTAACATGGTTAAGGCGGTTAGCGTGGTTCTAGAGCCGGCCGAAAGTGAAACCGAATACCACAAACTGGCGGCTGATTGCCCAACCCCAAAAAGCTTGAGCACACACTTGCACCTGCTGTCGGCCAAATTGGCTCCAATTTTGGCCACTTTTTGTGATTCGAGTCAAAAATACACAGTGGCTTTGAGTGCATTTTGTGCGCGAGTGAGTCAAAAACAAAAGACTTAAGGCACGAACTTGCCACAAAACATTGTAAACGCCGGTGTTGCAATCCTGCCAATGCACAAACACTTGGCAGACGTCGAGTGCCAGTCCGCCTCCCGTCTTCATTCCGCGCCCCGCCCCTTGGCCGCCCCTCTGAATGACCTTCTTTGCCGAATCGCTTTGAAACTAGACACAGACACCGACAGTTGCAATAAAAACGAAAAAGCTAAAGCGGCCATATTAAATGCATTCGTTGCTTTTTATATACCCTTTTAGTTAAATAAATGTTTATTTTAAAACTAGTTAATTTATAAATGTTCATTTATTTTTCAGCTATGTTTCCTTGAAACAAGGCACTTTTTGCTATTTTATACTGTTTCATTTTTCGTAAGTAAAATTTAAAAAATATTTCAAATTATTAGCAAATCATTTCAAAATAAATATCTAATTTATGTTTATTTTTAAAGCTCCTTTTTTCTATTTTACATATTTAACGTATATTTTGTATTAACAATAACTTTACGTTGTTTTGTTATTTAAAAGCCTAAGTTAATAATTTTGTAACCATACCATATCTTGCAGCATAATATTTTCTAGAATTTTTAATTCACTTTTTTCCTATTTTACATATTTAGCGTATATTTAATAACAACCTAAATTTTACGTTGTTTTCCATATATGTATTTTGTAAAAAGAGTAAGTTAATAGTTTTATTTTTAATTTAAGGTCTTGCAGCATATTTTCTAGTTCCTGTTAATTGAATCTTTATACCATCAGAAAGAGTGCAGAGGCATCACAAAATATAATTATAAACCTGAAAATAAACTAGCCGACAACAAATGCAACAAACTGCAACGCGGTGCATTGCATTTGAATTGAGTCTCTGCTCCCCTCCCCTTATACACTTGAAAGTTTGAAGCTGCCTGGCCAATTGGCCAATGATTTTGCACTTTAAGTTTTGTTTGCTCATGTCTGGCTTCACTTTGCAGTTTTGCTTTTTTGTGCTTTTTGCTGATTTTTATGGCAGGCGGGTGGTCGCTGTCATCGGTTGCCGCGGTTGCGGCCTTCAATGGCAATTTTCATTTATAGATTTTGGTGAAATTAGCATCACAATAAAGATTTCTAGCTGGGTGTTTGCTTCGGAAACACGCGCTCATAAATCGCACAATCGCGTTCTATGCGATCTCGACTCGGCTGCAACTTGTGAATTGAGAGACTCGAGTGGTAATTTGTCTGCCCGAGCGGATATTTGCCAAGCCAGACTCAGCTGCAACGGATATGTCGAGTGATTAGCTTGAAGTACATTTATTCAAAGACATAGAAACTTGCCCGTGTCATTAATATTGCTGTGGTATTTTTGGTAGCATGAAGTTTATTTGCAAATTAAGCAATACGTTTACTTACAAAAAAATCGATAGTTTTATAAATAAAATATTGATCAAATAACGTATCAAGGACTAACAAAGAATCAGCTACTGGTATAAACAATTTTATTTCAATAATTATTATTATTCTTAAGAAAATTAATGACGTTCCTTGATTGCGTTTCTATGCTTATAATATTTTTACTTTTAAAAAAAAAGGAACCAATGACTTAGAGCACGAACTTTTTTCTTCACTAATATATGATCAGACCATTTTAGATATTCTTTACCTAAAACTACGCTAGACTTATATTTATAATATAATAAATTTAAAACGATAATTCATTTTCTGAAAAGCTATATTTTATTGTCTGACTAAATATAATTGCACTGCCTTTTTTGACAGAGAATATAACCTTTTGTTTAAGACTAGACAATTGTTAGTTACGTTGTTTTAAAACCATACTTTTGAGCTTAAGAAATTTTCGAAATATAATTAGCTTCCTCAAATTTAAAGCTGTAGTGCGCTAGCACACATTGTGTGTGTTTCTTTGCACGATGTGGCAGTCAGACAGTATATTTTTTCCTGTCTTGTATGTATGTATACATTATATGGCCATTGACGGGGCACACCCGCCCCGTAACCCATTTTTCAGTTTCACACACACACTGCCAGCCGTAAATCAGTCGAAAGCACAAGGCCGCATGCGGGCTATGAACCTGCAACCAGCTCGGTCTCTAAGCCAACAAACGGCTTACGGCTTACGACTTACGGCTTACAGCTTACAAAGAGGTTAGCTAAGGCTGCCCATTCAGTAGTAAGATATTGTATTGTATTTAGCTATTTGCCTTTCGGGGCGGCCGCAAACACTTTCAATTTCAATTGCGTTTGCAACGCACAAACAAAAGCCAACCGAATGCCCGCGAAATTGCGGTGGCTGTTGTTGTTACCACAATTACTGTACGATGTGTGTGAGTGTGGGACTTGCGACTAGCTAATAAAAACAGGCTCTCCAAGTGGCCAGCACCACCACCACAAAGCCGGCAAAATGCAAAAGTTGAACTAGGTCAACAAGCCAAACGCAGTCGACTTCAGCGGCGACCAGTAAATCTGCTGAATTGGCTCATTACATGCCCCAGGCACACGAAGAAACTTGGCTCGAAGTGCTGATACATTTTTATATTCTTGTTCAAGAAATCTTAAGAAAAAAAGTTATTTTATATTGAATTACGAATTGTAATATCTTTTTAGAATAGCTTAAACAGCACAAAGATTGTTAATTTAAGGCTTCATTTAGCTATTAACATTGGGAAAATAAAATATCTTTACTTAAGTGTAATTTTTTGTTAAGCTAGATAATTTCATTGCCGGAAAATTATAATTGAAAATTTCGTTTCTTTATGGTCTAACGTTTGTTTTAGAAAACATTCTTTGAAAAAAGAAATTAATTAAGAAATTAAACTATAGTCAAAATAATTGTCTAATAAATTTTTTAATATTATTCTACATGTTATATAATTGCATAATATGCCCTAAGAAAAATTGTTCGATTTGCTTGATAAAAAAACTTATTTTTAAATATCATTTTTAAAACTTCAGATAAATGTCTCTCAGTGTAAACAAAGTCCACATAGCTCCCCTCCATAATGTCCAACTTAAAGACAAGAAAACTTCTATGTACAATTATTTATTAAAAATAATTTTAAAACCTTCTGATAAAAGTCTCTCAGTGTAAGCAAAGTCCACATAGCTCTCCTCCATAATGTCCAGATTGTAGGTGGAAATATCAGCGCAAGTTTGTTGCTCAAGTCTTTTGTTAAATGCATGCCAGCAATGCATTGACATAAATCGGGCTAATAATACTCTATGGGTTATCCGTCTGATTGTTAATTCAATCACAACAATCATCGGACGATTTGCACAGCTGGCATCTATCATCGATAGCCAGTCAAGCGATTAGCGTTCAGAATCATCATTTAAGCGTTTACAAAATCCGTGAATTTACATGCAAATTTAGTTGTCTTTCTGAGTGGCTGGTTTTGCATTTGGCATGCAAATGTCAACAGTTTTTCCAGCCGTCTCTATTTTTATGGCCCTCTCCCATGCGGTTCCGTGCATAATGATGCCACCACAGCTGACAAAATACCGATGAATCTGGCTACCATGCCACACATATTTCGCGATCACATCTCACTATCCCTTGGCTACAAAAGGTTTTGGTTTTTTATTTATTTTTTGCGGTAAAGTGAAAATATAATTACCATAAAACGAGTCTTACGCAATAAAATTGAAATTGCTTTTATTGCCTTTTATTTTTGGTTATTTAAAAACCACTTAGCGTGTCAGAGTCTCAGTTTGAACTCGATACGGGTCTGCGCCTAATTTTTAAATTTTAAAATCTTTGAAGCATACAAGCAGATACACTAGCTTGTAAGCCCTAATGATTTTATCACTTTTCATTCTGGATGTTTGCAATCTCATTCAACTGTGTACAGACAATTAATTAGGCATGTGACCAACAGTCACTTAAACACTTATTTGCATTTTGAATTGAGATTGATGGCTAGTTTTTTATTAATTATAATTACTGGTAATGCTAATGGATTACTAGCTCCTTGGGCTGTATGTTTTCAGCTTGGCGTAAATTTATTGCCAATTTTTTTTCTAAACCACTCTTATAATTTAATAAATTTATTTTGAGCTTTAAACGTGTTTGTAAATTTTTTTTTTTGGTGAATTAACTATACTTTTGATGTCATAATTCAATAAATTTTGGAATGACCATTATATTTTTTTGCGATAGAAAATATAGTTTAAATTAATGTTTTACCTAACAAAAAAATTTTTTGTGTTAAAAAAAAGATGTATATTGATCTGTATTTGCTTGCATATATTCGCCATTACAATCGTATTTCGTATCGTTAATTTGAGCTAGTTTACGAATCAATAAATGTATGAATTTAAGAAACGTGATAACTCAATTTCCAACTGGTTCCAACAATCCTTTCCCTCCCCTGATTGCATCTCAAAAGCCAAATTCGTAAGTCAAAATAAATTATCGTTCGCAGGCTGGTTTACATCATCTCGAGCAGTCCCTAACTCGCCTTGCCCCTCCCTTGTGTCTAAAGATACGATCTTTAAACTTGTCTCCGCTGGATCTTAATGCCTTAAATCTCTTTCACGGTTCCAATTAAACGCCACACGTGCTGCCATTGGCAATGCCCATTACCTTTGGCCATACATCACATCCTTTCCGCTGCTAATTAAATAAGTTAATCGCTGTCGTTCATTATTTTTTTTTTTGCCAGCCATGCGATCGCCGGACTTGAAATTCTCGGTGCGATTCTCTACGACAACATTGACACATTTCGTTGAGAGCCGAAGGTAAAATTGCGTTAACTAAATCACACAATGTTGCTAATCAACCAAAGTCAAAGCGAAGGTAAATTATTCTTTCGAGCGGAGGAAGCAAATGCGATTTCAACAATCGTTTAACCATTTTTATTAATCCGTTGTAAACAAAAGTGAGAAGGTCTTTGCCAGAGGCCTGTTAGAGATACAATAAAGTCTTTTATTTGTTCGCTCACAAAAAAAAGGAACCTTTTGTTTATGAGTGTTTTTGGTTTGTTGATAATTAAAGCTGAAGCTAATTTTGACTGACTTTAATTAAATTAAAACAGTAAGAAGGTTACTGGCTAACTTTTATGGTTATCTTTAAACGAATCTTTAATAATTTGATAGCTGGCGGGTTTTGACTTGTCTTAAATTTGAACAACAAATACATGAGTTAAAATTTTAATTTGTTGCGGTAAATTTAGGTAATAAATATTTCTTTATTTAAATCAAAAAAGTAGTTCAACCTTAATTCAATAATAACTATTTTGTGTTGTGCAGATAGTCACTATGTTTTAACCATTCAATTAGGTAAAAATATTTGAAATATTGCTGTTGTTTTTACAAAACTTATTTTTGGATTTTTCATATCATTACAACTCACCTGCAGGATGTATCCAATGCAGCAGATGATGAACCAGGCCACGTCCGCAAAGGCATCCCAGCTATTCCACAGGACTTGGCGCCAGCCATCGGCAGCAGGAGCAACTGCCTCCTCGTGATGATGGACCACTCCATTACCGTTGATCTGGGCGTGACCATTGGCCAGAATCTGCTCGTCCTCGGCGGGAATGTTGTTATTGTTAATGTTCTTCACCATTTTTGCACAGACTGGACACTTAATTGGCTCGATTTAATTGAATCTGTTTAGTTTTCTATAGTTTAATCACTTTTTCCTAAGACACAAGTTTTATCAATTTAATTGGCTTTGTTTTATGTAATTTTTTTCGGAGTTTTTTCCGTTAATTTAAATGCAAACGAAACACAACCGCAAGCAACTGACGCGATATTAATTTCGGTTTTTGTTTCAAGTTAGTTTCGTGAGTGATTTGGGTTTTTGTGTTTTTGTGTTTTGTATATAGTTTGGATCTTGGGGGCTTTTTGTCTGATTGTTGTCGGACTTTTCCGCACTGCACGTTCGCTCTCGTGAGCGTAGCAAACGAATTTGAACGTTGTGGGCTCCAAAGGAATGAATTTCGACTTCTTATTTTGGCGCGCTATTGGATATCGTCGACGTTGACGTCGCTGTTGGCGTCGACTGCGCTGCTTACCGCTCGCCGCTCGGCCGAAGCTTCGCTTGTGACGTCATCGAGCTTCAGCCGCAGCTTCGACTTGGATTTTTGTATTATTTTTTATTATTTTTGTTTTGCTCGTTGCTCGTTCTTATGTTGCTTTGGGCTGCGCTTCGCTTTACGCTATTTATCCCGTTGCTTCTTTTGTTTTTTGGTTTGTAATTGTTTAAAGTTAATTGAGATTTATGCTTGCATATTTTTTTTTATAAATTTATCACCTGCTGCATTAGAAGGACGGCGTGAACATGACTAATTAGCGTTATGAATTGTAAAAATTATTTTACTGCTGGCTTGGGTGGCTAACTCGTTAATTATTTCGTTAAAAAAAACTTGGGATGAGTGAACGCAATCACTGGTTTAGTCATTTATTCATAAAACAATCAGATAAAAAAGAAAAATATGTGGGGAGAGTTCAAAGTGCATCAAAACTTTTAATGAACACATTTCTCCAGATGATTGTGTTTATATTGCTTTTTTCTTAAAAGGGCTGTTTGCTAAGCAACAAATTGAGATTTATGCTGCTTTTTGTATAAGCTTACTACTTGCAATAAAAGAACATCGTGAAAATGCATAATGAAAAATTTAAAGGTTATGACACCTCGAATAATGCATTTTTCTTTGTCTCTTTAATTACAAATGTAAGTTGACTGAACGTCCTTTAACTTCATAATAGTTAAAAAGTCTTTTTAGGAGATTTATATTTTGACTTACTTAATTTACTTACTCGAAGGTATGAAGATGTGAATGTACACATATTAATTTTTTGAAATCACAAAATATACTTTTAAAGAAAGGCACGCTGATCAAAAGTACACCAAAATGTCTTAACGGCTTTATAAAGCTTTGCCGTAACCTTATGTTCAAATTAACAAAAAACCATCGTACTATTTTTTAAAAATATCATTTATAATTACTTCCAAAAAAGGGATAATTATTAACACTTTCCTCTTTTACTTGATGAGCATAAAAAGAAAAGTCAATTAACGTAGTAAATCATCATTATAATAAAAATCGCCCTTAACTTCCGAATACTACTGTCCACTTTCCCCTCAAATCCCCATCAGATTATTTTATTTGTGAATCAGATGAAAGTCGGATGAACGTAAATTTGGTTAAATGCAATTTTGGTCATCTTGTATCCTCTTTACTGGTTGTCAACATCACAATGCACTTTGTACTCTCTTTCCTTCTCGTTCCTCTTTCACACAGAAACACACAAACACACCCAGCCATTAATTTGGACTTGATTGTTTTTTTTTCGATGTTTTCGCATTGAAAACTGGTTATGTTAATCAATTGAAATAATATTTGGCCGGCAATTCTTAACGATTTCGTCACATCTTCAGATTGCATAATAAGCAAATTTTAGTTATTTGACTTGATATCGTTTGTTTTGTATACGTGCGTTTTTTAGTTTTTAATTTGCATTTTTAACTCGAAGTATTGCGGGTCAAAAAACTGATAAAAATGTTTAAGGCCATTTGTAGAGCACATGTTATGCACAAAAACAAAAGAATTTCGCCATAATTTATTTCACTTTCTATTATTTTCAAAATCTATTTAGCTGCAATTATTTCACCTGCGCTTTATTTCACACAAATTTACGTTTATATCGGTATTTTATATAGCGATTTTCGGGTTAGCCGGCGTTTACTTAATCGATTAATTACCAAAATATGCAAATTGATTTACTTGGATCTTCGAGCATTCTTTTTGTGTCTGGTTCGTTTTATTTTTATGGTTATTTATATTTTTCGACTGCTTTTTGCTTCAGCTTCGTTTCCCATTTCGTGTCTCTTTTGACATTTGTGACGCAGGCGCAGTGAGAGAAAAAATGGGGGATAAAGGGGGCTGGATGACAGGAGCAAAAAAGGCGGCATACTCAGCTGTTCCTGTTGATTTCACAGTTTTCAGTGGTTGTTTTGGCGAGAGAGAAATTTTCGGAGATTTAGAGAGTGACAGTCAAGAGTTACTCACAGCTGTTGACCAGAGTTACCCAATATTACCAATTAAAAAGTTTTTTGTTTTTCATTAAAATTCAATTTTGATTTTAAATATGGTTAATAAGACAATAAAAATGCAATTTATTTTAAATATGGATAATAAGACAATAAAATAATACATTTAAAAACTATACGACAATTAAATAAGATAGATAAAATATAATTAACTATATCTTATACCACAAAATAAATATGAACTCTAATTAAACTTAACAACGATTACATGCTTATATTTTTAAAACCACCACTTTCGAAAATAGCCATTATTTTAACAAAAAGTAATCTCTCAAAATCCTATACCACAATAACAATGTGGAAACATTTTATCAATTCAAGATTTACTGCTTCACTGGAAAAATAATTGTCCCCCCTTTTTCAAACGTTTCGCCACAATTTATCGTTCGCCAATTTCCGCAATAATTAAACGCAAAACAACCAAATTCTATATGTTCTAAGCAATCAAAAGCGAACAGATCTCGGCACATGTTAAAAGGTAGCTATTTCCTTTTGCGAGAATTTAACCTCGTGCCCTGTTGACCGATCGACAAAAATAAGCTGAACTCTGGCCGAATGAATCCGAGCCCGAAAACACGGAGATTGTTTTGGCCAAAAGAACTCCATTATAGAGGCAGACAATCGCAAATGAATCAACTGGTAGCCTTCGCCAAAAAAAAAAACCCGTTAGAACCAGCACAAAGTTGAGTCTATAAAGCTAAGCGCCAATCTGAACGTTAACCTATTTTACTTCCTATCAGAATTCTGGTTTTAACATCTTACTTCCGGCTGAGGTCCGTAAAAAAATGAGAAAACGAACGTGTTTTAAGCCATGTGTTTGTCCGATGACTTGGACATTATTTGCTCATATTTCCTATGCTTGATGATAGCCCATTTGGTAAGAACTGCCTAGGCTGTGCGTATTATTAATTATGATTTATCTGACAACAATAAGGAGCACGATAATTATTGCCAAAAATCAAAAAGCGTCAAGGCCATCGATCGGCTACCGTAAACATTTATGTCCGAGTCTTGGGAATCTCATTTGCGATGTGCTAATTGCGTTTCTTACCCCTTGAAGTGTTTGATATTTCTTTGATATTTGCGGATTTGAAACGCTTGGGGGGATTCTCGTTAAGAATAACTTGTTATTTCACTTCTTGAGAATTGCGTTGTGGAGTTTGTAGAATTCTTTCGATTTGGGTATCCGAACCAATCTGGTTCTATTGTTTGAGAAACAAATTTTCACTTGCTTTGTGGGATTTTTATATTTTTAACGATTATATCAGACACATTAATATCATTGTTTGCAATTGATTTTCAGAGTTTTTTTTTTCTTAAAAAATCAATACAATAAAAAAACACTATATGCATAATAAAGAAACTAATTTCTTTTAACATACAATAATAAGTTAAAGAAATTCACTTTTTAATACATTTTTCATGTATTTTTGTATTTTTTTATTTATAAAATTGGTTTATATTCATTTGCTTAAATATTTTAACTAGCATACGAAAATGACTCATTAGAATTAAAATGTTAACGTTTATATGTTAATTACTACGTCAACATACTTGTATAATATGAAATACATCAGAAACAGTCAACTCGATGATTCTTTTAGCCATTGGTCTGCCATAGCAACTCATAATTTAATAAATAGTTATTTGTAAACCTGACCAACAACTTCCGACTTCATAGAGCCACATTCCCAAAACCCATAGAAGAAAAAAGACAAAAAAAAAAAACTAAATGTGTGAAGCCGAAATGACATTGAATTTTGATTATATTGTTTCTGGCTTTGATTTCAATTAACATAAATGCTATAAAGCCATATCATGAGCATCTCTCATGCCCAAAAACTGTGTAAAATGTTGTAAGAAAATCGATGCATCATTATGGAAGGGCTGAAGATTTCTTACTCAATATATACAATGAATAAAAATAAAAAAAATTGCCTACACATGTTGGCTCAATCATTGAAGTGAAGGCGGCTTTAAATATCTATAAATTTCACCAAAAGTTTATTTATAAACCTGACAAGTTAACCTTAACCACAGTGAAAGAAACAATTTTTTATTTTGTTGAAATAGTAAACAAACATAACTGACTATTTTGGTCAGAAGGTCGCTCTTCGGAGTCGTTGATTTGATGAGGGCAGCCTCTATAAAACTCCCGAGCTACTTTGCTGAAGTGCACACGTTCCGTTCGAATTAAATGGCCAGTTATAAGTTAAGATAGTTTGGCTTTTATTGTTTTGCTTTTTATGGCCATTGTTTTCCGTTTGAGTGCCCCCAAAAAACCCGTTTCATTCTAGACAAAACCCCATCTAAAATTTACCCTTTCGCAGAAAATAGAACACTCTCGATAGGATGCTATTCTATGGCTTTATCTGTCTATTTATCTCTTTGATTGCCACAAGGTCTCCGGTCAGGCTTGATTGCCTTCTTAACTGTTTATTTTGGCTGCTTCTCGTATTTGTTTGTTTCAAGTTTTAGCACATCTTGCGGGAGTAATTTGCACAAGTCAAGGTCATATTTTCGGATAAATGCCAAATCTAACAACTTTTGATATAATATTCTTTCGGCTATTGTTGAATTAAGTCAATCGAATGCAAGTTTTTATTTAACAAAGAAGAAATCGGTCATTAAAGTGTTATAACATTAGATTGTAATACTTTAAGTATCTTCAAGGTTCAATAGAAACTTTAAAATCGTTATTTCACCAACACCTTTATTAATGACTATTCTTTTAAATTTATTGACAATAAAGGCTTTTAAATTTGTGTGTTAGTTGACTTTAAAAGCCGTTTCGTTTAAAATTTTTACGGAAGAGTGAAAACTTAATTGTTGTAGGTGTGAAAATTATTATTTAACAGAGAAAACATTGGAAAATAAT